TATGTATGTACGTATGAGTGATTTACTATATTCTACGATAAATACATTTATGTATGTACATATTAGTGATTGACCATATTCTACGATAAATATATTTATGTATGTACGTATGAGTGATTGACCATATTCTACGATAAATATATTTATGTATGTACGTATGAGTGATTGACCATATTCTACGATAAGTACATTTATGTATGTACGTATGAGTGATTGACTATATTCTACGATAAGTACATTTATGTATGTACGTATGATTGATTTATTATATTCTACGATAAGTATATTTATGTATGTACGTATGAGTGAAAATGTACTTATCGTAGAATATAGTAAATCACTAATACGTACATACATAAATGTACTTGTCGTAGAATATAGTCAATCAATCATACGTACATACATAAATATATTTATCGTAGAATATGGTCAATCACTCATACGTACATACATAAATATATTTATCGTAGAATATAGTAAATCACTCATACGTACATACATAAATGTACTTGTCGTAGAATATATTCAATCAATCATACGTACATACATAAATGTACTTATCGTAGAATATAGTCAATCACTCATACGTACATACATAAATGTACTTGTCGTAGAATATAGTAAACATACGTACATACATAAATGTACTTGTTAGAATATAGTAAATCACTCATACGTACATACATAAATGTACTTGTCGTAGAATATAGTCAATCAATCATACGTACATAAATGTACTTATCGTAGAATATAGTAAATCACTCATACGTACATACATAAATGTACTTGTCGTAGAATATAGTCAATCAATCATACGTACATAAATGTACTTATCGTAGAATATAGTCAATCACTCATACGTACATAGTGATTGACTATATTCTACGATATCCCATTTTATGGTAGATCATTGAGATCCTAATTTTTTCATTATTAACGAACCAAGAAAGTAGATGATTGTTGCTATTAAAATTCTCGGTTTATCGTTAATCATTTAGGTTGTTATGAATCATTATATACACCAAGAACAACAACAAAATAGGTTGAGAAATTCTGAGATCTCGAACTTTGTCTTGTACAGTACATCTTATGTATCCGTTCAATTTCCGGAATGAAAATCATATAGCCAGTCTCAAGAGTAATCCTTGTGTTCTACGATTTATGTTATAACTTAACGTCATGGAGACCACCCATAATAACTTATTACAACGAAACTTGTTTTTCACTTGTTGAAAATATCGTGAATGCATAAATCATTTATATCTGTATATATATATATGTGTGGGGGAGATGTATTTATTTACGTGAGTGGGTGATAATGTATGTAGTTATTATGTGTTTGTGGGTGAGTGGGTTTGGGTATATAATTGTGTAAATACGTGCATCTATGTATTTGTGTATGTACGTGTGTGTAGGCGTGAGTATATAGTTGTTACGTGTAGGTGAACATGTAGTTGTAGGTGTATTTTGCTAGTATTCTAGAAACTGCTAACGAAAGTATTTATATAAGCACAAATAAATTAGCTACAGAATTTTATATTTTTTTTTGTTAATTGAAGCAGGACATTCAGTGATGGAGGAAGATAGCCCACTGAACAAGTCTTATTTTCTGAACCCCAGTGAGAAGTGGAAGGGAGTTTCGAGAGTGTACTTTACATTCTACAGTGAATTCCAGCGACCTTTCCAATTACGTTTACTCGAAGTCGTATTTTTGTCTGCCATCTTGATGCTCGCCGTGCTAACAAACATCCTTATAATGTGGGTGTTTTACCGTGATCGCCGCATGAAGACTGGAACCAACTTTCTCATCATTAACATGGCAGTTACTGACCTGATATTTGCCGCCGGTATTCCTCTGATTGCTGCAACCAGAATCACCGAGGAGTGGTTATTTGGGAAGGGCCTATGCAGTGTTTTGTTCTACTCACAGTGCTTATGTGGGTTTCAATTGACTTGGACTTCGACCCTAATCAGTGTTGAACGCTATCGTGGACTTTGTTCTCGTACAGCCTGTTCTAAAATTTCTACCAAACATACTCTTGGACTCATTGTTGCACTTTGGGCAATAGGTGGCGCACTTTTATTGCCATGTGCACTGTTTTTTACTGTGGTCATTTTACCCTACGAGAAGAATGTGGTGAAGTTTTGTACACTAGTCTGGCCGGATAGAACAACAGTGGGAGAAACTAGTACTTTTACTGTGTTATTTTTACTTCTAGTCTATGTTCTACCAGTGTCTTGGTTGGTCTACAACTATCGTCAAATTTTCAAAACACTTAAGCAACATAACTGGGGCATGACAACAGGTGGTGGCGCCACCTATCGACACGGAGGAACAGCCTTATATGAACTACGTTCACAGCGTCATTTACGTACAGTGAAAATTTTGGTAACAAACGTTGTAGTAATTGGGTTGATGTGGATTCCGATGCACGTTGTGGTGTCTATTGTATATTTCGACAGTAAAAAACAGGAAGGGATGTACATGCATTCTCACATCTACATAGGAGTTATGTGTTTCACCCTGTGTAACACCTTTGTTAACCCTCTTCTACATTGCATATTCAACTCTACTTTTAAACAGTCCCTCTCCCATTTGAGAGGGTGGTTTTCCCGCCGTTGTCATCTGATATTCTACATTTCCCAACCAGAGCAGAAAGATGAGGAACAGCTAAAAACACCACGTTTATTTCTACTAAACAATGACATCTGGAATAAAAGCTCAAGAAGGAAGAATATCTGTAAATCTCGAGGTCACTTCTCGATGCCAAGTTTCCAAAATGAAAGACAACAGAATCAACATTCGCGAGAATTATCTTTATTTCAATGGAGCTCACCTCTAATGGAAAGTCACACGCATAAACCTCACCGCCAAATAATCAAAGAACATTGTCACAATGAACAAAGGGAGAATAAACAACCGAGAAACACTACTTTATTCCATTCAGAAAGTGATCTTCGTGGCTCTCAAGTGGTGTTTCCGTCCAAACACAAGCCACGTATTTGCTGGGAGCAAAATAAAAACAATAATGTATTAGAATAAGCTTTTCATTTTATTAAGTAGTAGAGTCTAGTTTATAAATTCAAGAAAAAAATATGTGAAAAATATCTCTCTTTTTTTTTTGTTTCGAAACGTAAATAAAAACAACGAGTAATAATAGAATAATAGAATAGCATTTTTGGTCTGGTTATTATCGACTGTCAGTAAATATCAAGTTATATTTATTATAATAAAATCCAAGGTAGAAAACTTATCTTTCTACACTGTAAATTCTATTTAACCCTTTTCGTGTAAGTTATGACTTATATAATTAAAAATATTTTTCAAACCAGTAGCTTATCCTGATTACTGCGTCTAAAGTTCTGAATATTACTATTTCTTCGGTAACGGATAGGATCCTTTGTAATAGGGTTTTATGTATTCAAAAACAAAAACTGAATAAATTTCGAAAATGATGAATGCTCCAATTATATAGTGTAATATGTCATATTATCTTCACATGGCCCCGGCATGGCCAGGTGGTTGGGGCGCTCGACTCGCAATCTGAGTGTCGCGGGTTCGAATCCCCGTCACACCAAACATGATCGCCCTTTCAGCCGTGTGGGCGTTATAATGTGACGGTCAATCTCACTATTCGTTGGTAAAAGAGTAGCCCAAGAGTTGGCGGTGGGTGGTGATGACTAGCTGCCTTTCCTCTAGTCTTACACTGCTAAATTATGGACGGCTAGCGCAGATATAGCTTTGCGCGAAATTAAAAAACAAACAAACAAACTAACTTCATATGAAAAATGCACTGAAAGCTACAAAACAGGTTTCTTTAATATTTGAGATTTTCATTTCATATGATAAGTAGTACAAAAATTATTACAACGTCAGATTTGACAAAGAGTATAAAAAATCTTAGCCTAAACACGCTTTTGGAAGATCTAAGCGTTGCAGGTGTAAAAAAGAAAAATACAAAATTTTTCATTTTCAGAAAGTATTTTTAATATGATGTCAATCTAAATTTTGCAGTGAAACATACACCATATTCTAGAGACGCAAGGTATTTCCACCTGTTTAAGATACTTAAACTGCGAAAAATGCGAAATTTCCCAGAGAGAACTGTTTACAGCATATCAGAATGCTGTGAAACAAACCGTGTTCTAAATTGTAAGGTATGTCAGCTGATTTGAAATATTGAAGATGAAATAAGAGAGATGTCACATGTTAGTGTCTACAATATCACATTACATTATTTGAAATATCGTCACATTTGTAACATATCATCACCCTCTGGCTAAAATATATATACTTCAAGTCTCATGCACATTGAAAAATCAACACAGTTGCTAAGGATGTATAGCTAAAACGTAACTAGGTTCTACCATCTCTAGAAGGTCTGGCATGGCCAGGTGGTTAGGACGCTCGACTCGCAATCTGTGGGTCGCGGGTTCGCATCCCCGTCCCACCAAACATGCTTGCCCTTTCAGCCGTGGGGGCGTTATAATGTGACGGTCAATCCCACTATTCGTTGGTAAAAGAGTAGCCCAAGAGTTGGCGGTGAGTGGTGATGACTAGCTATCTTCCCTCTAGTCTTACACTGCTAAATTAGGGACGGCTAGCGCAGATAGCCCTCGTGTAGCTTTGCGCGAAATTCAAAACAAACAAACATCTCTAGAAATGTACAAGTTTTTTCGTTACCGCTTTAATCTTTATTTTAGCTAATTCGTTTGAAATAAGTAAATATACTTTTAAAATTCCAGTTCTTGGAAACAAAACACTTTAGCTCCTTGGATCCACGTAGAACATTGCTACCGACAAATTTTAGAACGTTGTCAAGAATGCACACGCAGTTTGTTGCCCTCCTTTTTAAAAACCTGATCACAGAAAAGCGCGCACTTGTCAGTTCTAGAAATGATGCGCCTTTGTATACTAATGAATGCTCTTGTAGCTCAATCCTTGGCGATTACATCTTTTCTGGGCGCGTGGCTTTTTGTTTCTTCACGTTATTACTTTATAGAGTTGAGATTTTTTTTTCAGAATTAAGTCTAGTCACTGTAGCCTTTCCTGACGCTCTTAGACAAAAGTACTAAAATGAGGTCTCCTCATAAGGTTGATACAAATTACACTTGCTAAGTTCATTTTCATCGTTGGTTTATTCGAGTAAAAGTTAATGTAAATCTCATTCGATAGGAACCATCTGGGTTTGAATAAACTTATTTAGTTTTGTAATTCTTTGTTGAAATTTTAGTTTATATAGCTCTAAAACCCATTAATCTTCGTATCTTTATTCAACACACATTTATTCAAACAAGATGGAATCTTCAATAGCCGCGGCACTTGAAATTATTTTAGGCAGGATTAGAGTAAATTAATCTATGAGACTTTGTACGTGGACAAGTACATCAATTGAAAGGATTTGACCTCCTGAGTCCAAAACTGTAACTAGATCTCAAATCGGTCAGGAGATGACGGAGCTACGAGCTAAAAATTTGTACTTGAAAACCTCAGAGCCGTTCTATGAGCCGCTTTGCCGCGACTAAAAATTATTGGAATGACATAAATCATACACTCTAATTATCTATTCTCTAGTCACTGTTAAATAATAATAGATGCAGGTTAATGTTTAGTCTAGACAAGTATACACTACTGTTCATAAATTAGAGACCACCATCTTCTGCGCATAAGGTGACCAGGATGAAATATAGTCATAATGCTCATCTAAAACCCTTGTTTATTCAAATACCTTCCAAATAATGCGTTTGATATGAATTCTAAGATATGAGAACTTACACTAGTCATGTTTCTAAAAACTGGGGCATGTAGTTTTTAGTTGTTATAATGTTGAGGCTTTTATACTGACGTACAAATCATAAAGCATTCCACACATTTATGAATTTTCTATTGTAAAAGTATTCAAAATTCTTTTACTTGATCGCTAGTTATTATTTGATTCTGTAAAATGTAGATAAAACTTTCTTTAATCTGTGTCTATCATGGCTGTTCAATTTTCAAGACGTATAGTTTCTGATGAAGACTCAGCATATCAGCTTTATGTGAAGAGGGCTACAGTCAGCAGGAAATTTCTTTAAAAAATATCAGTTAAAGTTAAAAAAATAATCAAAAGACATTGATACTAGTACCACTGTTGACAAGAGCAGACCCAGAAGTCGATCTAAGATTTCCAGATCAGATGTTAAGTACCTTAGGCTTGCTTCACTGAGAGACAGATGTAAATCTGGCAGGTTCCTACAGAACTTTATTGTTTGTTTGTTTTAAATTTTGCGCAAAGCTACACGAGGGCTATCTGGGCTAGCCGTCCCTGATTTAGCAGTATACGACTAGAGATGAGGTAGCTAGTCATCACCGCTCATCACCAACTCGTGGGCTACTCTTTTCACCAACGAACAGTAGGATTGACCGTCACATAATAACGCCCCCATGGCTGAAAGGGCGAGCATGTTTGGTGAGACGAGGATTCGAAGAGGATTGGAAGAACTCTAGGAAACCACTAGTATTGGAGAAAGATACTTCGGTCTGATGAATCAAAGCTTAGAATCAATAGACGCCAGTACGTTCGTCGCAGGAATGTTGAGAAATTAGAGGAACATTTTCTACAGCTTTAAGTTAAGTTTTATAGGTAGCATCCAAGTAAGAGGCTGTTTAGCCAAAACTAAAGTGACGATCTTTGCGATATTGATGGAGTCCCGGATCTTACTCAATATAAGCAAATACTCATTTACAGAGTTATTCGTTTCGAACGTCGTTTAGTGGGAGATATTTTATTTTCCAGTATTATAACCATAACAAAAACACAGAGAACGTGGTAAAACAGTATTTTGATATAAAGGGGAGCAGATGAAACCCTGGCATGTTTGGTGTAACCTCCCAAACATCAATATTATTGAGTGTATATGTGAGTATCTTTATCAAATAAAACAGTAAAAACAGATAAAATCTGTGGAAGATCTCAAGGCAATACTCCGAGACGCATGGAATCAGTTCCACCAAGTATATCAAAACCTTGAAGAAAGCATAGTTTTTCAGCTTCAGGCAGTGATTTTAACTAAGGATGGTCACACAAAGTATCAAAGAAATAAACTTTAAATTGACTTTATAAAATTCTAAAATATTTGCATGAAAGGAACTTCTTATTTTGAGTTTAAAATATCTGGTGATAATTGAATAGCCTCTTATCTAAGCATATTACTGTACATTTACTGTTATGTTAAACCTATATTAAAGTTTTTCTTCATTACCCATTCAAGCCGTCTCCAGCCATTATCAGTCTCAAAGAGGGTTCCTCGTCACCGAAAATATTACTGTAAACTTTGCAAATTCACTGTGCTCGTAATTCTTTTCGATGTTCTTTAATTTGTTAAGTCCATTCATCATGAATTATGTACGTTAATACTTATAGTCACGGTTCTTCTATTCAGATCATCTTATTCTTAAGACGGAGGCTTTGTTCATCATTGGCTATAGCCAAAATCATAAACAAATTAGAAATAACAATAATGTCACATACACCTATTCACGTATGTTAGACTTAACTAGAGATCTAACATTAGCATGTTCTTTTATACGTCACTAACTTGACAGCAGGAACAAGTAGATTTATAAACAATGAAAGAAGATTGAAAAGATAGAATTTGGCCATTAAATTAAAAAAAAAAACTAAAGCGACAATTAGGTTTTAAAATGCACCTCAGCTGTATCTGTGGGCATACCCTACGATGATATTTTTCACCTAACTTTTAATTATCAAATAACATTTACCAATACAAGTATAATAACAAATTTTAATTTTAGAAAGACAAGTGTGGATCGATATATTTGTAACCTCGCTAGCTATAGTGACATAGAAAGTTTTAAAGCTGCAAAAAATATTGACAGAAAGTCAAAACTACAAAAACTGAGTGACTTAAAATTTAAAAAAAAATCATCCCTACTTTGGCAAATCACTGTAATTATGTTGGTATGAGCCAAAGTAGGTATAAAAGTTTTAAATCATACTTTGGATTTAGCAGATAAGTAAAAATATATTTTAATATACAAACAATATTACGATTTAGAATAACAGTTATTACAAATAGTTATTACGAACAATGATTTATATACAAAAGTTTTACAAACTTACAAGTAATGTAAAGTCTTCTTTCTAATCTGAAACTTCTTCTATATCTTATCGAGGGTTCACGATGAGCGAGTTAATTACGAGTTGACGTGGGTATAATTCACTTAATAGAGAGCTAGCTAGCTTTGCCCTTCGTTAATCACCAGCCACACACGTCGATTTCAGGTCGAGGTTCTTTTACAGCTGAAGTTATATAATATCTTCGTAAAGGTACAAATGTCCGATATGAATCCACTGAAGTTAAATGATTTATAATGTTCGAGCTTTGTTCAAATATCTGAAGTTTTCCGAGTGACAAGCGTTATAACAATCACAGTTATAGCTTCCGAAGTTTATAGCACACTGACTATAGCAAACTAAAATGAGATACTACTTTTTTTTTGGCGCTTTGCGATGGTTATATTTATATGCGTGTAGAGGCTTTTTCGAATTTTCAGTTTTGCGTAACAATATTGACGCTAAGTTAAACGCTTACGTACAGACATATATTGCTGATTCTTACTCTCGAGAATCTTCTACAACTTTGGAGAAAAGGCGGGAGTTTTGCAATACATATTTAACACTATAAGTTATGCATATTTCTAAATATAAACTTCATCTAAACAAACGTTGATATTAAAATAAATATATAATAATAAATTCGTCACACTACTTTGAATACTTTGAAACAGTCATCATTAATATTCAGATATTTTAAAGATGGCTTTAAACGGGCGGTTTTTATGGCTGCCATTTTGTTTCATCACGATCCCTACTGTTAAATACTACCGTACCTAATGATAAGGAAAACTAATAACCACAATATTTTTAGTTACATCATAAACCCGAGATGTAACTAAACTTCGCTTATTTAAATAACAACAACGTATTCTGTCAAACTAACTAGGAAGATCGTTTTCACACAAAAATTCTTTGATGTTCGAAAATTCTTTACGTCAGCAGAATTACATTGGTTCTATTAAAAGAAAGTAAATAATTCGTACAAAATAACAAACTAATGTAGGTGAATGTGACGTTCCTGTTCATTCTAATTTGTTTCAGATCTTGGCCAGGGCCAGTGATGAAGAAAGTCTCTGAGATCAATATTCTCACTTCGGCTTGCAACTTGTTGTTAAAGCTTTATCGGTGTAATGTCTTCCTCTCTATCAGCTCTTCTAGCCCTGATAAAGCCGCGAAGGCGAAACGTTGGTTGAAATAAAAAGTTCTTATTAGTATCTGGGGAGTAAAGGTGTTTCTTTTTTCTTACTTTATTGCTAAAATCTCTCTATCATTAAATTACCCGTCAGCATTCCTTATTTCAAGTAATGTACAGTCCTGTATTTGGATGGAGAACTGAAGAAATCTGCTCGTTATTTGCTTACAATAAGTTAAACAGTATTTTAAGAAATATTCTTAATAACACTTAGGAGAAGATGGGACAGCTAACTTAACTTTGAATGCGATATTCATCAATTAAGATTAAGGTCAAGAAAAAAGCAAAAGGTTTTAAAATCAACTTTTTTTTTGTTATAAATATTGTTGTTGTTTGTTATTAAGCACAAAGCTACTCAAAGGGCTATCTATGCTCTGCCCACCACGGGTATCGAAACCCGGTTTCTAGCAGTATAAGTCCGCAGACATACCACTGTGCCGCTGGGGGGGGGGGTGTTATTAATGTAACTTTTAGTTAAAACAAACAATGGATATATAAATTTTCATATATTGATAAAATAATGCACTTTTCGTGTTTGGGGGCCGTTTTACCAATACGTTTGGATATATGCCTCCCCCCCCAAAAAAAGATGGGGCAAAATGATCTCATATAACTCATATCACAGGCAATTTAAAATAAACATGTATTTAGAAACTGTATCATATCACTTAAATCATCATTAAAATGATTCTAGTAGGGGTCGGGAAGGCCGTGCGTCATGTGCAAACTGCGCATGATCTAGGACAATTATCTTGGACGTAGCA